GCGTGCGTGTGTGTGTGTGTGTGTGTGATTGTGTGTGTGTGTGTTACCAAAATATATTGTGTTGCACTGGACAAACTGTAATGAAATATGTAGAAAGTAAATCACATGATGTTAGTACTACTCAAAGGGACAATATTACATGTTTCTCAGGCGTTTATTTAAATTCTATACCATAATAAAGTAACTATGTCACCTTTAGTTGTTATTTAAATGCTGTCTGTGTGTTTAAATAGAAATTAAACTTGACTTCTCATCATATTTGTTTCTAAACACCTTGAAATTGGCCTCTGTCTCTTTAAGAACCTCCTTCCACTTCTGTCCCGCCTATTTCAGCACGGGGCCGGGTGGGTGTGTTCTGTGATGAGGAAGCTCAGCTTGGAGACACAGCTCAGAGGAGGAGCTGGTCCTAAAAGGCGGTTCTAGTCCCAACYGGTCATTTTTGCTCCCCTGCCTGGCTGCCTCAGGACACTACAGGATTTCTCAAACATGCATGAATGAGTCAAAGCAAGACTTTGGGCATGTTTTTAATGAGAGGATAACATTATAACATGATATAAATCTCAAAAAAGTTGATTTTACATGATATTGCCCCTTGGAGTCAGCTTGATTCAAGATGGCTGCCACAGCCAATTAACCTTAGAATGCTCAAACAGCAAACAACAAATCTAACTCCCTGATTTTGGTAGCTGTTAGTTATTCACAGCACAGAATCTGAGCGTGACATCTCACAGTGAGATTGCACATAACCTTATTCTCAAGGTTTGACCAAAAGCAGTCATTTCTCAACATACTGATTTCMGTCTAAAATCCTAGCATGAAAGGCAGTGGTCGATATGCATTCAAGCAACGCCAGGTCTTTCTTTTTTTCCTGTAAAGATTTAAACGTTACAATCTGCCTGCAGAAAACAAATGGCATACCTAACACAAAAGAAGTGCTTTTTTCCCATTATGTGTGCTGCTGATGTAGTCTGTACTGAAATCCATCTTTTTGTGCCTGTGCCTCTTTTCCAGCTGTACATTCAAACCACCACTCTGACCATCTCCATGAACCTCAGTGCCTCGGTCGCACTGGGCATGCTCTACATGCCCAAGGTGTACATCATTATCTTCCACCCTGAGCTGAACGTCCAGAAGAGGAAGCGTAGCTTCAAGGCTGTGGTCACCGCTGCCACAATGTCATCCCGTCTGTCTCAGAAGCCCAGCGAGAGGCCCAACGGCGAGGCCAAGACGGAGCTGTGTGAGAACCCTCCTGCTGCTGCTGACCCCATGAGTGAGTGTGACAGTGTGAGGACACATCACAAAGATACACACGTGTGTGCACCCTGAAACAATCTTAGGTTTAAACTGGATCACAGCTCTGAAATGCATAAAAGAAAAAAAATAACTGTCTTGATTTAACACTGCACTGCAAAAAATGTCCACCTAACCAAGTTTAAAAATCTTATATCCAGCCAAAAATGTCGTTTTGATCTTGTTTTGAGACTGATTTATAAACAAGACCTGATTGTGTAAGAATAATAATCTTGTTTTCAGAATGTGTAAGATTATTTGTCTAGTTAGCCTGAAAATTTGACTCAAATTAAGTCAAACATTTCTGCCAATGGAGTAAGAAAATTTAACTTGGTAAGATTCTTGAAATACTTGATTTGACTCAATTTTTTCTTATTTCAAGAATCTTACCAAGTAAAATTTTCTTACTCCATTGGCAGAAATGTTTGACTTAATTTGAGTCAAATTTTCAGGCTAACAAGACAAATAATCTTACACATTCTGAAAACAAGTTTATTATTCTTACACAATCAGTTCTTGTTTAGTAAATCAGTCTCCAAACAAGATCAAAAAGACTTTTTGGCTGATATAAGACTTTAAAACTTGGTAAGATGGACAGTTTTTGCAGTGTGTGCATGACTTAAACTATTATTAATGATAAATATGATTGAAATGTGAAAATGGTTTGAAAAAGGAAGCATTACCTGTTTTACCTTTTTACCACATGTATAGTAAACATGCTAATCTCAGTTCTCAGTCTCACTGAATTCTAAATATTTGCGACCGGAGAGTCGTGCAGCCAGGTTTTAAGCGGACAACTTTTGAAAATCATAGCTGGTTTAGACCACGTTCAGGCCCAGTTCTTCTTTGAAAAAGAAGAGTGATGTCAATATGACTTGCCTGGAAAAAAAAAGTTAATAATCCTAAATAGTTTGATGGTTGGAATTGATGTTTTTTTCTTTGCATGAGGCCATGTTACCTTGTGTTCTGATAAAAGTCTCAGCCTTTTAATGACAGTGAGCCTGGAGAGAAGGTGGGAAACTTGCTTTGAGGAGAGATTTTAAGAAGCAGGGCTTTGTTGCTCCGAATATTTAGGCAGATAATCGGTTTCTGAGTGTTACTCGCACCTCCCTTCATCTGAAACAGTAAGCGTGATCCTGTTAGCAAAGATAATGCTGGGTATTAGTGCGTGTGTATTCCCACAGTTGGCTAATGCAACGTTTGTTTTGATTTAGAATTTTTAGAAAAAAAGAACGGAGGGGTGACAAAAAGCTTTCTTTTAGACACTCATTACTTTGGAAGCTTATTGCTCGTCTTTAACAGTCAGGATGACGAGAGGGAAGATTGACAGCTCACACAGCCTCCCTCACCCTCCTCTCTCCCGCAACGCCTCTAATCATGTTCGGCAATCACAACGCCCACAGGTGCTCACTCCCGTCAACCCCTTTCAGAGTTATGCCTCRAAGGTAACAGATTTTCCAGTGAATTTCTCCAAACACCCGATACGTTGAGAAAACCGTGATCACGCTGTCGTATCATGGGCGCAAAGAGCTTGTTGTGTGTGYCTGCGAGTGTGTGTGTGCGAGAGCTGAACAAGCGCATCAGGGGACGCCGAACAGATCCTTGCTTTTCACACATGTGGCTCATTGACTGAAAACATGCGTCGAACGGAGGGTGAAATCAGAACATCTGTTGAAGCGGCGTATAAAAAAAATCCTCGACCTCTGGAGGGAAGTCCCAAAAGCGCACAGTGTCATCTGTTTTGTGTGTCTCCAACCTTCTGTCTCTCCTACATCTTCTCACCCCGTCCCTTCCACCCCACTCACTCTCTCCTCCGTTTTTTTTTTCCTTTTTTAGCGACAGTGAAAGTGACATTTATTAATGGCGAATTTATGTGCATGACCGCCCTGAAACCTGAACTGTGGCTCCACCGTCCCCGGAGACTGTCCGTCAATTACTGTTACCGTCAGAGCTCAGAGCACCTCCCTTTCAGGGACCATCATCAGCCCTGTAGAAGATGACTCTGAGTGATTTATGGGATTTGGAGCATTAGCAATTCTGCCCATTTACATTGGTTTTTATATGGTGCAGCATGGTCATGATCACACCYCTCAGACAGGAGCATTTGCCCTGCAATTCTGTAAAAAATTGATTCAACATCCAGCGCAATTCCTCTCAGTGTGTGTGTGAATTGTATTTATTTTAATAATGGTGCAGAATGCTTTAAGGGAAGCCAGAACCACACATTAAGAAAGGGTGCAGAGTGAGATAACATAATCTGCTTTCAGTATGACAAATTAAGAGGAAAGCTAAGGTAAATAAATCTGACCTAGACTGGTAAACACGCACAAAAAAAATAATAAAATAAAAAAAATAAAAATATATCTCTCTCAAAAATCTTCACGAAGACTGCTACCACCTCAAATCCGCTGTACACTCACTGATGTTTTATTCATCACACTTGCGAGCCGAGTCCACAAAATGCAGCTGTAAAGAAACGGTGCGATTTTAATTGCAGGGCCCATGGGAGCCAGTTGCCACAGCAACATTAAAGCAGCAGAGTGAGAATTAAGAGCAGCGTCTGGGATTAAGAAGACACACGTGGACCTTCTCCAACACACTGGCACTGGGCTGCACACACACACACACACACACACACACACACACACAC